AATCAATATTCGAGGTATTGGATTGAATCAATATTTCAGGTATTGGATTGAATCAATATTCCAGGTATTGGATTGCATCAATATTCGAGGAATTGGATTAAATCAATACTACAGGTATTGGATTGAATCAATATTGCAGGTATTGGATTGAATCATGAAAATTAAAAGATTGAATTGAACCAAAAGTTGTATTTGCCATTGGATTGAATGCCTTTTTTTATCTTTAAATAAAACCATTATTTGAAGGATTAAACATATATTGCAAGGATTACATTTTGCTACAAACGGCTTGCCATACTTGAGAGTATCGCGAGATTCGTAGGTAAATCAGAAAATCATTATTTAATCCACGTTGTTCTCGGCGTCGCCGTCGTGGTTACTTAAACTCCCTATCGAGAGATTGCAGAAAATCGTTTATAGTTTTCAAAGGTAAAAGAGCGACTTTATTTTTGCAAGCGAGATTCTCAAATTTAGTGCCTTAAATGGTAATCTTTACTGAATTTCGTTATTTGCATCATTTTTTCCTGAAATAAGGCGACATAGAAGCAAAGTAACTACCTAGCGATTTTAGTTATACCCTCGAGACCCCACTTGACGTTTACTCCCGTCTGAAATTTTCTTCTAGTTCTAAGCAGCTAGAGATCTTTTTCGTCTGAGGTGACGACGGTTCAATAGTCGTTAAGTCTTTTCAACTTCGAGGCTTCGTCCAGACTCAATCATCAAATTATGTTCATTATATAAGTTGCTTAGTACCTCCGTCATTAATTGCCTCACACATTCTCCATAGAAATTCCTAAGTGACATCTCTAGATACAGAGATACAAATACACTAGTGTAAAGATCGTACAATTATAGCATTTATGGCCCTTGTATTAGTAAAATGGTCATTAAAAGAAACACGTACCTCCATAAACCAGCATCGCCTTAAAAGCCGCTGCCAAAGGAAATGCCACCACAGAGGCACCTGCATGTGATAAAGCAAATTATTATACATTGAACTCACTATATCTTTTCTGATTGGCTGAAAGCGTACAGTGAATTTTCCATATTAGCGCCAGTGACGTCATCTAGCTGCAGATTGACAATAATCATATCAAGGTCACTCAAGCTCACGGTTAATCATGTCATGTATGACCGTGGTGCATGGTTTCTAAGGGAAATCATGTCAAGTTCGCGCACTTTGTGTTGCTTGCCGTCAGTGAAGAAGCAAAAACGTGAAAAAAGTATCCCGCTTTTCAGTTTCCTTGAGTGCAAACCTGAAGAACCGTTTTCGAGCAAAGTAAGAAATGCTACCTTCATTTATATACAATATAAATTAATTCGCAAAGTTTTAAGAATCAGATAAAAATGTGGTTAGCCCCATTTCTTGTAAACTGTCTATGATTAAGAGAACATCCCTTTTGTTACCATTACGTTTTGCGTCTTCGAGATTGTAAATCTCTAATAGTTTATTTTCCGAGTAGTGTGGGTCACAGCCACTGACGGTTATTCAAGTTATCACTTCTAAGTACTTAACTGAACATCCCAGGCTAAAGATTTACAATCCAAGAAAGTATATATCATTCAGAGTCTGTTATTCACATAGATGTATGTCCATACTACTAGGAAATATCGGTTATTGAACCACTACACAACCATATTGATAGATAAAATTTTTCGGGAGGAGAGTTAGGCAATTGTCAATAAACTCCTGCGCAGCAATACAAGCAAAGTTAGCTATCCCAATAATGCCAAACAAGTTAAATAAAACAATCCTATATATCCAATAATTTTTTTTTTTTAATATTTCTTAAGAAGATGCGCCCCCCCCCCCCCTAAACCACGCCTGCAGTCTCAAACGTGGTGTCATATCAACAACTCAAATTTTTTGAAAGCTAGAAGCAAAATCCTTCAATGTAGGTCACACTAACCATGATTTTATTTAGTCCCTGCATTTAGAAGTTGGTTCAAAGAGCTCTTTGATTGAAGTTACCGTTTAGCTACGCTATTTTAAAGAATTTTGAATGAACATTTGTTCTCTTATAAACTGGACTTAATTAGCCCTCAATGACGGGGTTTTTCCTTTCAGTAGCGGCATGAAATGGCTCGAGATGGCTCTGGCCCAATTTGTCCATCCAAACGCACCATTTCAACTCGTTGTAAAACCCTGGGGAAATAAACATGAAGACTTTCCCTAACAATCGAAATGCCGTGAAAGAATCATAAGTCGATCTTTTTCTTACAATCGAAAAATCGTTTCATCTTCTTCCTCTTGAATATAACCGACTTGACAGGGTGCAAGCGACTGTGAAAGCCTTACGTCAACAGAATGTTGAAAACCCGGGGGGTATTCCCATAGGAAAAGGTCGGGGATGCTGGTCGTCTCGCTTAGTTGTATAAATCAAAGTTTTTGGTCTCAGTCAGGGTGTTCGGAACGAAACTCCACTATTTTTAGCAGTCAAAGTATGTTTTCGGGTACACTCGCAGAGAGAAAGTACTTAAAAAAGCACACTTATCTCCGTTTTTAGGCTCGACTACCGAAGGTGTCTCGAATCCGATCTACTAGCGCGGGCTCCTTTCCTGAACAGTGGTATCTTTTAGGGGTAAAGTGAAGCTCCAGCTGGCTTTACCCATAATTTAATTTTGGAACTAATGCAAACCCTTTGTTTTACATCATTTCTTGTTTTTGAAGGCGTGACGCGTCACAAATTCAAAGGTCAGACGACAGGAGTTCACAATGTCGATCTTTCTTAGTAGTTTCTCCTTGGTTTTGAAAACATTAACTGTTCTTTCGGATTAAAAAATATTTCGCCAGCAGTGTGGGTGGCGGGTCAGATTTTCTTCAGTTATTAGCGTGCAAACGAGATGATCCAGGGAAGACCTCAGGCTTGGTGTCTATTTGGTACAGCTGAATGTAAACAATGAGGAAATAATACAGGTTATGACAAAACTTTCCTGCTATCCGGCCGACGAAAGAGTTATAAAGGACAGACAACTGGAATAAACATCTCAATAATCGTTGCAATGGCAGGATTGTGTGCTGAGATCTTTCGCGTCTTGGGTTCATTGTTGTCGTTTGTATCCTTGCACGTTAGTACACCGTCTTGTTCATTTCCATTCTTTATTACAGAGAAAACCCGTCTTACGGTCACCTCGTTCATACGGCCACATTTTTTTTTTCTTTTGTCCCGGCGAAACGCCCATACAATGTTCGTTTTATCAGAAAACCCAGTTAATGAGGCCACCCCGTTAATTCGACCACATTCGGCCACATTTTGAAATCCCAACGTGTATAGTACTTTAATTATAATTTTACCCCGTTCATACGGCCACTTGAATCAGTTGTATTCATATTTTCATTATTAAAATTTTATCCACCGATTCAAGTTTCAGTTTTATATCTATCTTAATTGTATCTGCATTCCTGATGCTTATTGAAGAGCAGTTGCTTGCAAGTGCAATTGTGATCATGTGTGATATATCTGTTAAGACATCACTCAATTTAGACGAGTCATGAGGTTTGATGCTACTCCATTAGTGTGGCCACCCTGTTATTACGGCCAAATTTTCATGCATGGCCCGTTGGTGACCGTATTAACGGGATTCCACTGTACCTCGTGCATGCAATGTACTTCCGACCACTTCGGTTATAAAGCTTAAGATAATTTTATTCTGATTCAAATGTCTCTTATAAAATTCGGTTGCAGTAAGACACTGGAAACAGATACATTTCAGATGCAAACTGAATTCACAGACAAAAAAAGCATAAACGATACGATTAAGCTTGCCACTATGATTTTGATGCCTGTGACAAGCAAAAAGAAAATAATTTCGGTAGTTGCCTTAGAATATCCACAGAAAACCAAATGATCAAAAAAGCACGATGATGATGATGGTGATCATGATGATGATGATGATGATAAACTAATAGTTTTGGAATATTTTACTGTAATGGTAAAGATTCTAGAGGTTGCCTTCACTCAAATCTTAAACAACTACAGGGGTAGCGCGGTGCGAGATATTCGAACTTCACTTGGTAGATTCAACTAATTTAATGACAGATCAAGTCCATAGATCTAGTTCACAATAGGTAGCGACTGAAGAAATAGCACCAGTAGATCGCAAATAGTGGTAGCAGATACGAATAGGAGTAGTAGTCGTACAAGTAGATGTAGTAGGTTCGAACTGAAAAGCGATAGTTAAGAATACGTCCTACTTAGATAAG